CTTCTCGTAGCGCCTGACCGAAGCCCACGACCGCCAGCGCCCGCGGCGCCTCACGTCCTCCAGGCTCCTGAAGCCCCCGGCGGAGTCGTGCGAGGCGCCGCCGTGCCTGAGCTGGCACAGGTGGACGTCGCCGAGGTACTCGTCCAGCTTGAGGCTCCGCACGACGCCGCACACCGCCGCCACCAGGTCCTTCAGGGTGAAGTCGAAGATCGGCGAGCGCGGGCTCCGGCCCTGACAAAGGGCCTTGAGCGCCGGGCCGAGAGGGGCATGCCGCTCCAGATCCAGGCGCATGGACTCGTCGAACTCGTTCGTCTTTGACGACCTCCCGACCTCCTGCGCGCGAAGCGTGATGGCCCAGCAGGGGGCGCTTGTCACGCCCGGCACTGGGGGTACGAGGTCCACCCCCCTCACGCTGAAGACCTCGCCTGGCCGAAGGTACAGCTCGAAGATCAGGATGATCGCGATCGCGCAGGGCAGCTTCCCCGATCTGACCAGCTCGTTGGCGATCAGGGCCACCACCTCGCGCGGCAGCGGCAGCCGCGACTGGGGAGGGCAGCAGCGCCTGAACCCCTGAAGGGCCCTCCGGCTCCTGGGCACGAGGGCCCCCGCGGACTTCTGGAGGCCCGTGAAGAACGTCACCGCCGCGAAGCCCCACTGGGCCGCGCCCAGGTTCTCGCCGCCCAGGTACAGCGCGTCCAGCCACCCCACGAGCTGCTGGTCGACGCCCGCCTCGGAGGTTGCCACCGGGACGGCGAGCCACGCCAGGAACTCGGCGAACAGCGACTGGTACTTCTGCCGCGTCCGAGGCCGAACCGAGGCGCTCTCCAGCACCGTGAGCCCCCCCACCGTGACGGCAGAGGCCCTCCGCCGGGCCGCGACGTCGGCCACCGTCTGGCGCTTCCTCTTGGGTGGAGGAGGGCGAGCAACGGCTGGCTGTCGGCGCGGCGGGCCGGGGCCCCGTGCAGACGTAGAGAGGTTCGCCGTCATGGCACCTCGGGTGGCCCCCCGCCTGACCAGCGGCGAGGCCAGCGAGGCCGCAGGCGCCGCCGGCGGCGCCATCCGTGCGCCGGTCGAGGTCGGTGCGGGTCTGGCCCGCGGGAGCATGTTTGGAGAAATCGAGCGGGCTCGGAGCAGCTGGAGCCCAGAGGCCACGAGAAGGAGAGTCCGCGACGTTCCACTCCGAGGGCAACCACCGATAATGCAAGGCCGAACCGGTTGCGAGCGAGAGGGCCGCGATCGCCTGGGCGACCCGCATCATGCTACGGCTGTCGCTCCGAAACCGCGCCACCGCCCCGGCCGTCGACTGCGAGTCCCCCAGGACCACCACGTGCTTCCCGAGGTTCCGAGACGAACGAAGAAGATGACGAAACCCGTACAACGTGGCCCTGGTCCCGTACACGGCGATACTCTCCCCCTTGCGCCTCCACGGGAAGCGACCGACGACGGACCACTGCTGCTCGATCATCTCCCTCGGGACCTCTGGGAAGTCCACGACCCGCTTGACCCGACCGAACCCGAAGACGTCTCCGGGGCTGTCCAGGACACCTGAGCCCGCCGAGGGGGGCTGGGGGGGAGCGCACTCGGGCCCTGGGACGTCGTTGGCGGCGGCGATCCAGGGGGCAGCCTCGCGGGCCTCCCCCGACAGGGCCGCCGTCGCCTCGGCTTTACGAGCGTGGTCCAGCGCGTGGCGACGAGGTCCCATGGCAGCGCCGACCCGACCCCAGCGCCAACGCTCCGAGGTCCGACCGACGCTTCGGGCAAGAGAGGCCCCCACTCGCTAGCATCGACGGCCACCACCTCGTCGCTCCAGCCCGCCCGTAGGTCCCGCCAGAGGAGAGGAGCAAGCCCATCCCAGAGAGAGAGAGCTCGCGACGTACCGAAGCCCACAGACGCTCATCCTGGGTGTAATTCTTCCTGACGAAGGCATAGCACGACCAGAACAGCGACAACCCCTCCCGGCGGACCAGGGAGAGGAAGACAAGATGCCCCAGGAGGCGCTCCAGGTCACGCCCAGAGCACCGCCCCCTCCGGAGGACCGCCCGAATTGCCAGGCGGGCCCTCCAGAGGCGGACAGGGGTGGCAGCCACGCGGCCCCGGGACCCGTCGATCTGCCACCCCAAAACCTGGGCCACCTTGTCCTCCCCAGAATACTCCTCCTCATGAACGACGAGACCCCGCCCTTCAAGAGCACGAATAGCATCCGCAACCAGAGAGCGAACAGCACTGGCGTCAGTAGAAACGGCGATGAAGTTGTCCACATACTGCGAGTGGCACGCACGATGAAGGTCCGGCGTCACCTGCTTATCTACAATGCGATTCTCCGGGGAAGCTCCGGCTTGTTCCACAGTGCGTTCATGGACCGTTTGACAGCCCAGCTCCAGCCCATCGGTATCACAGACAGTCGGGGGTAGACCATGGCTGACGGAGGAACGGGTTTCCCATTGACCCTAGTACACCCCACCGCCCCCGCCCGCACAGCCCTGAAACAGAGAAACGGCCTCAAATCGGGAGGCAACTGCATACGATAAAAAACGTCAGACAAATCGGCCCCGCCAACATGCAACTCCTCACCCTCACCGAGCTCCAGCCCTGCCAGGCCTTCGCCGGTGAGGAGGGAAACGGGGGCGGGGTCCTGGAAATGACAGTTGCTTCTACGACAGTCAACTACCAGCCGGAGCTTCCCATTTTTCTTGTGCACGAAAAAAGCTTCAACCCTTTCCATGGCTGAGAAGCTGAAATCTACCGTGCCTCGCTGCTGCAATGCACGGAGGAACTCCTCAAAGGCCGCGACCCGACGCAGCTTCGGATCACTATGCGGCACCGCAACCTGCGAATTTTTCAAACGAGTATCTACCTCACTAGACGGTAACAATCGGCTTTGGACGAAGTCCCTAATCATGTCCGACCCGCCCGCGCCCCACAGATCCTCGAGCGGCGCCGGTGCCGGCGAGCCAGAGGGGAGCGAGACGCTGGCGAGGTTGTGGGAACCGAGCACGGCAGAGTCCACATCATGCCAGCTCGCCACGCGAAGCTTCCGGAGAGCTTCTGCGGGAGTAACCTCCGGCGGAGGCGGGCCGAGAGCGGCGACGGAGTCCCGAACACTATCAAGACAGTGACGCTGGCCCAGCGAAACAAAAACTGCACGGTCGGCGCCCTGGCCGACGGGATAGAGCGAGTTCAAGGCGTGGGCGGCACGATCACAGTCCAACTCAAAACTCTCGCGCTTACCCAGACGCTGTCGGACTGCACGGGGGAGCCCCCCGTCGGTACCCCGATATCGCTCCACCGCCGGCCGCGGCAAAGGCAAGATGTCGCGGGGCACCGCGCGGGAGGGCTCGTCCCCGTAATTAAAAGCTTCGTAGGGCGGCGGCACACGGGGCCCGCGCGCCTCCCGGACGCCGGGAGCGCGAGGCGCAGAAGTATGCATGAGGGAGAGTAGCCCGGAGGACAGGAGGAGGGGGGCGAACAGAGTACAAGAGGCACGCACTGCACCCTCAGAGCAGCGCGGGCCAACCTCAGATGTGGGTGTCGGCGGAGGCTCACGACTTGTCGCCCCCGCCCTTCTTGCGGGCGGCATCTCGCTCCTCGCGCCCCTTCCGAAGGGCCTTGTTGAGCTGCGCCTCCCGCTCCACGTCGATACGAACCACGTCCAGGAGCTCCGGACAGATCATCAGCTGCCCCGAGCCCCGGCTGAGCCCCGAGAAGGCCTGCTGCTCCTCGAGGCTGAGACGGCCACTGTACCCTTTTGACTCGGCCTCCTTCGCCCGCTCGAGGTGGGCGAACTCAATGGTTTGCATCCTCCTCAGCAGCATCTCCACCATCACGAGGTTCGTGCCGTCGAGCTGGTCGACGAGGAGACCGGCCTTGACCGCCGCCGTGAGGTGGAGGTGCTCGGCCACACCCCATGCGTTGGGCTCCAGGCGGCACAACGATCGAAACCGATCATGGTGAGCATCCAAGCTGCCGCCCTCCGAGTTGATATGCTCCAGGCACCACCCCGCCGTTCGGACGCCACCGAGCGCCCAGTCCTTGCCGAAATCCTCCTTCGTCACGGCGGCACACATGTCCGCCCACGTACGCTCCCGTCGTCCCAGCCTGTTGCGGCGCACCGGGAGGATGCGGGCGTCGCTGGCCACGATGCGGTCGAAGAACTCCTGCTCGTCGCCCTGCCGCAAGTACTGCACGAAGAGGCCCGAGCCGTCTGCCAGCCGGTGGATGTCTTTGTCCCCGATGGCGCCTGCTCCGGCCTGGTGGGGCACGTCGTCCCCCACGCGGAAGCCGCCGAAGCACTCGGCGGCGACCCAGCGAGCAGCACCACGTCCGTCAGCTGCGCCAACAGCCACAACCCCCTGCAGGGGCCCGACAAGCGGCGGCACCCGCGCGGGCGCCGCGGCTCCGAGAGCAGCAGGCACGTCCGCCGCGACCACCACCGGGCCAGCCCCTGCGCCGGCCGCGGGTCCGCCCACCGGGACCGGCAGCAGGCAGTGGGCGTCCACCGCCGGGGCCGCCACGCCCTGGGCCGCGGCCAGCCCGGCGCACTCGCCCGCGGCCTCGGGCACCGCCGCGGCGAGGAAGGCGGCCCGCTGCGCCACCGTCGGCTCCGCCCGGAAGCGGTAGACGTCCCCGGGAGGGATGCCGTCCGGCAGCACGTTGAAGGCCGTTGCCCACCTCACCGCCGCGACGTCGACTGACCCTGCACTGTAGTCCTCCGCGTACACGTGCCGGTCGGGGGTGGCGATCACGAAGAGGCTACCAGCCGATAACGCCACCTGGCCCAGCACCAGCCTCTGGTGCCAGACCTGCCGGGGGCCGGCCCCGATGTACAGCACGTACGCCCACGTCGCCATCCTTCACGAGGGCAGACCCTGGCTCCGAGTAGTCCTGGATGGCAGCCCGCCTGCGCCTGCCGCAGCACCGAGCCGCGTGCCAAGCACTCAGCAGCGCAGCGCCCGCCGCGAGGCCGAAGGCCACGCCGCACACGAACCAGAGCAGCCCCCAGCCGCCGCCGGCGCACGGGGCTGCCTCCGGGGCCTGCGGGCAGGCCGGGCACGCCGCCGCCCCAGCCGCCGGCGCGAGGCCCGGGCAGGTCGGGCAGGCCGGGCACGAGAGGCCCGGGCACGCGGGCGCCTGGCAGGCGCCGCAAGCCTGGCACGTGAGAGCCGGGCAGCCTGGGCACGGCGGCGCCGCTGGGCACCGCGCGATGTAGTTCACCAAGCCCTGCGCGGCGTACTCTCCCCCGCGCTGCACCACCCACTCGAGCATGGGGGGTCCGCCGCGGGAGCCGCGCCTTTGAAGCTTGAGCCAAGATGGGACGGAAGACGCAAGGATGCTGCCACTGCTGATCACCACCAGTAGCATCATCATAATCAACATCAACATCATCAGCATCATCATCACCATCATCATCATTACCATCAGCAACCTCATCAACATCAACATCGGCGTCACCATCAGCGTCATCATAACAGGCATCATCCGCAGCTTCGTCTTCGCCACCACCATGATCATCAACAACATCATCAATCTCATCACCTTTTTCACCACCACCACCAACATCACCGTCAACACCTTCATCATCACCACCATCAGCACCGTCACAATCACCGTCACCATCGCCACCATCATCATCCTCATCTCCATCAACATCATCATCGCCATCCCTTCCGCATCCTCTCATCCTCATCAACATCATGATCATCGTCATCATCAACATCCTGACCAACAACACCAACATTACCATCGCCGTCACCCTCACCACGACCATCGCCATGACCATGACCCTCACCATCATCAGCATCAGCATCATCAACAACATCATCATCAACATCATCACCATCGTCTTTGCCACCGTCGTCAGCAACATCGCGGGCATCATCATCAACAACATCATCACCATCATCAACACCATCAACATCACCACTATAATCAGCATCACCACCAGCACCATCATCATCAGCATTATCGTCATCATCAGCATCTTCAGTATCTGCAGCATCACCATCATCATCATCATCAGCAGCAGCATCAGCATCACCATCATCATCATCAGCATCATCATCAACACCATCATCATCATCATCATCATCATCATCATCATCATCATCATCATCATCATCATCATCATCATCATCATCATCATCATCATCATACTATCAGCAGCAGCATCATCATCAGTACTATCATCATTATCATCAGCATCTTCTCCGCCTCCTCCTTCTCCTCGTCTTCCTGCTGCTCATCCTCCTGGCCCTCGCTCCACTAAATTCGAAGGGGGGGGGGGGGAATGAGCAAGGGGGCACGGGTAGAGGGAGAAGAAGGATAATGGGAACGAGGAGGGCGAAGGGAGCGAGAAGGACGAAGGGGAGGGCAAAGGATGAGGATGATGATGACAAGGAGGAGGGAGGGAGGGAGGGAGGGAGGGAGGGAGGGAGGGAGGGAGGGAGGGATGAGAAGGGAGGAACAGGGAGGAGGAGAATCAGAGAGGAGGAGAAGGAGGAGGAAGAGGAGGAGGAGGGAGGAGGAGGACAAGACAAGACAAGAACCCATGGAAGCCAATGTCAAGAGTTACAGACGACGGTGAAATGGAGGAGTAGGAAAGGAAAGAGGAGGAGGACCAGTGCAAACCTAGGACGCATCAACGATGCTGCAATAAACCCACCTCCGAAAGTATCTCTTCATGAGCTCCTGCAAGACATGGGCTGT